GGTGGGGGGAAGGAGGCCGGAGGCGGAGGGGGGAGCCAGCAGCTTGAACGCGAGAAAGTCCCGAATTTCCCTGGCCGAGTTGCCGAGACGGCCTCCGCGAAACTTGGAGGAGGAAAGACGGGGGGAAGAAAAGGGGGGGAAAAAAAATAATTAAAAAATAAAATATGATGACGTCACTTGGAGCAGGGGTGCCTTCCCCGCTGCCTGTCAGATGCGCCTGAAAAGAACAGGGCAATAAAACAACAGCCGCCTCTGTCTCCCTCGTTAAACACGGCACTAATTGGATGTTAATTTCTCCTTGCTCTTCTCGCTGCTCGATTGTGAGGGCTCTGCCTGGCTCTCCCTCTCTCGCTTTTCTTTCTTTCCTGTTGCAATGCTCTTGGCAGCTCCGAGGGACTCCGGACTGTGCGCTCCCCTCCCGCTCATGGACTGGAATAATTCAGGAGCTGGGAGTATTAAAAAAGACGAGGCGCGGGGGCGAAGGGTTCAGGAATGGGGAGGGCGCGATGGATTTCGAGAGCTACGCTAATCTCCCCGTTTCCCGTGCATTGTCCTGCCGACTTGGAGCTATTCTCTTCCCATTCGATTTCTCTTTTCTTCCCCCCCCCTGCTTTCTCTTTGCGTTGGGTTCGGGCTGCTGGGCAAAAATATATGTTCCAAAAAAAAAAAAAAAAATTAAAAAAAAAAAGAAAAAAGGCAAAAAAAAAAGAAAAAAGGCAAAAAAAAAAGAAAAAAGGCAAAAAAAAAAGAAAAAAGGCAAAAAAAAAAGAAAAAAGGCAAAAAAAAAAGAAAAAAGGCAAAAAAAAAAGAAAAAAGGCAAAAAAAAAAGAAAAAAGGCAAAAAAAAAAGAAAAAAGGCAAAAAAAAAAGAAAAAAGGCAAAAAAAAAAGAAAAAAGGCAAAAAAAAAAGAAAAAAGGCAAAAAAAAAAGAAAAAAGGCAAAAAAAAAAGAAAAAAGGCAAAAAAAAAAGAAAAAAGGCAAAAAAAAAAGAAAAAAGGCAAAAAAAAAAGAAAAAAGGCAAAAAAAAAAGAAAAAAGGCAAAAAAAAAAGAAAAAAGGCAAAAAAAAAAGAAAAAAGGCAAAAAAAAAAGAAAAAAGGCAAAAAAAAAAAAAAAGCACGGTTCAATGACGACAAACCCCCAAACCTCCTCCCAGCTCCCCCCGTCTCGCCGCGCCGCCTAACCCCTGCGTGGAAACAGGCGTTTTAGGGAGCCGGAGCAGGAAGTTGTCGTTCTCGGTGTTGCCCAGGTCATCCTTAAAGGGTATGTGTGCAAGAGCGGGCGCGCGGGGCTCGGTG